ACGGAGAGCTCGGCATCGCCGCTCCCACCGACCACCCCTCCCTGCCTTTCCCTCCCGCAGGAACACGTGCCCTCGGAGCGCAGGAAGAGGCAGGACCTGGCCCTGGTGGAGCCTCTGCAGCTCTCCATCACTCTGTCCCCCTACGCCAGCATCACCTCCCCGCTCTTCCTGCAATCCCTGCACCGCGGCGAGGCCGCGGGATACTGGCTGAGCCGCCAGCCCCGACCTGGGGGCAGCACGGTACAGGATACAGGACCCCCCTCAACCCTAAACCCAAAACTAGCACTGGATAAACCCCCTCGGGTTTATTACTTACAGGGGGAACAGCCCAGTGCCCCTGTGCTGGGGCACGGCAGTGCTGTGGGGAGCAGCTTCTCTCCTGGCTCCTACGGAAGCAGCTTGGAAATTCCCACACTTCCAAAAGATTTTAAAAAGTTGCCCGTGTTCAGAAAATCCCTCAACTCCATTTTTTTTTTGTTTTTTGTGGTCAGTTTAATGATCAGCCACGTTGCCACCCACTGGGGGGTTTTTGGGGGAGAATTGAGGGAGGGTTGACACCTTCACGTGCTGCGCCTCAGCGCGGGGGCAGAGTGGCATTCCCCAGCCTCACACCCTGGAATAAGCAGGATATTTTATGGATCTAACAGCCACTTCCGTCCTCATCCGCAGATCCCACTGCTGACCACCTGGAAGGGGCAGCTCTGTGCCCGCCTGAACGTCACCAGCGAGGCGGCACTGGCCTGGTACCTGGCACGTGCCCGGCGCCTGCGGCAGGCGCTGGGGGCCACATACGTGGCCTTTGAGGGAGTCGAGGGTAATTCTTTCCTGGAGCAGGATGTCCCACCTCCCGCCGAGCTGGCAGGTGATGGATACACCAGGGTGTTGGCGGCAGCACTGGCGACACTGGGCAATGGCACCATCGTCAGCGCCGGGGCCGGGTGGGTACCGGGGACAGGCTTTGCTGGAGCCAAGGGGTGTGTGAGTTCCTGGGGGATGATTGAGGGGATGTCCTTGGGATGCCAGGAGTGCTCAGCACCCAGGGAAGTGGCACAGAGGTGGTCTAGGGCAGCATGTTGGAGTCGATGATCCATGTGGGATCTGAGGTTGGTGAGGCCCTGGCACAGGTTGCCCAGAGAAGCTGTGGCTGCCCCTGGATCCCTGGAAGTGTCCAAGGCCAGGTTG